GGACATCGCCTCCCTGCCGCTCAACGCAGCCGCCTGCCCCTCGGCGCGACCCGGAGCCCGCCTGGTCCGCGGCACCCGCGTCTCGCTGACCATCCGTCGGGTGCCCCGCGTCCTGCGCGCTGGTCTTCTGCTCAGCAAGTGAAACCTGGCCCCCGGGACCCGCTGGGCTTCCCAGGCTCTTGCCTCCTCTGGACAGCTGCGACCCTGCAATCTTGAAACCATGGGGCAGAGTCTGTTCCCCGGGTTATTTATTTTCCCAATAACCGTGGGAACCACAGGAAAAGGCCCCGTTTCAAATAAACCAACAAAAGTCTTTCTTTGGTTTTGGATTTTTGGAGGTGGGAGGCCAGATGCTTGTGTTCCTGAGGGGCACTGTGTCTGGGACCTTAGATAGATAGTGTGGGTCCTGGGGGTCAGACGTATGGGTCACTGACCCAGGCAGAATCCAAGACTCTTGAGGGGACAGGGTTATATCTGGAACATCCTTGGGTAGGATGGGGTGAGCTGGGGAAGTTCAGCTGGTCTGCTAGGGAGGAAGGAGTTAAGTGGCGCGGCTGTCACCTGAGCCAGCATCGAATTACCTGGGTCCAGGTTTCACTTGGAAGGAGGTGGAGCTGAGCCTGCCCCTGAGCCTCCGGCTGCCTCAGGCCTGGGTGAGCCCTGCTGCGGAGATGTGGGGGGACACTACTGGCTAGAAAGGCTCTTACTGGGGATCCTCACTGACTCTCTTTCTCCGGACACCCAGCTATGGCCCTGCCCCCACCCCTGGACCCTAGACCCCTTTCAGAGCCCGTCAACCACCCCCCCGGAGCCCCCAGGGAGGTGGACATTGCTGGATGCACCATCTGCCTCACTTCTGGAGAGGAAAGAATCAGGTAAGGGCTGGGGCTTTTGAAAGTTGGGTCCTAAAAGTGTGGGGGCAGTAGCAGGAGTGCTTTGAGGGTAGGGTATTGTGACTATGATCACCTGGGGAGAGGGAGCTCGAGATGGGTAGGGTAGGGTGGGTAATGGGCATCTAGGCTCACCCCAGGACCTGTCAATGCCCCTTCCCTACCAGGCTGGAATGGGACCAGAAACTGGGGCAGGACTCCTGGAATCCTCCTGAGCACTTTCAGGGTGGGCTGAAGGACACTGAGCCTACTGCTGGTTGCCCCAAACTGCCAATGCCTTCTTTCCCTGAAGACCCAGCTGGGGGCAAATACTGTGAGGTGAGCTGAGGTCACCCAGGCCCCTTGTGCAAGCCTTCTCTGTCCCCCAGAATCTGGCCTCCACACTGAGGATGAGGTAATGACTCTGGATAAGTTTTGGGCACCTGTGGAGGGAGAGACATTTGGAAATGATTCTTTACCAATCACTATAGAAGTGTTTCACACTGAGAGAGAATTATTTTGTCGTTGGCCCTGGTGCAGCCCCATTCCTTGTGGGGGTATTCAGCTCCATCACACCCCCAGCCTGTCCAGACCCCCAGGCCCCGTATGTCCAAGTTTCTAAGAGCCTTGAAAACCTGGAGACTGAAATAGAGGTCAGCAGGCCTTGCTCCACTGGGAAGGACTCCAGGTGGGAGCAGCCCTGGTGCACACCCAGAGATGGATTCTGCTGCAGAGAAGCATCCAAAAGGCAGGAGTCTGTGAAAGAGGGGTGGCAAAGGCAGTGGGGACAAGGCCTTGGTTGGCCAGTGGGCACTGACTCAGCCCCTGTTTTCCCCAGACCCCCGCATCTGGCTGGGAGGTATTGGAGGCTGAGCAGGACAGTCTGCACCTTTGCCTGCTGGGCCTGGGTCTCCGGTTGCAGCACCTAGAACGAGGCCCGGGGCCCTGGACATCAGCCCAGAGCAGGATGGTCCACCTGCAGGTGGGCAATGGGAAGCCAAGGTGTGGGAGGGTGGGCAAGATCTCAGGAGTGGGTGCCAGCTTTCTGGGGTGGGAAGTGGGTTTATTCCATGTTCTAGGTGTCTGGGTAGGAAAGGGGGACATGTAACTCTAGGTCCCAGGTCTCTGGTGCCTCTGGTGTGTATATGAGAGTGGAGTGGTGTCCAACCATGTGTCTCCAGACTCTACAGGCAGACCTGCGTGGGGCAGCTGAGCGTATAGATGCACTGCTGGCATTCGGTGAGGGGCTGGCACAGCGGAGTGAGCCTCAGGCCTGGATGTCCCTGCAGCAGGTCCTGAGGGCCCTCAGAGCCCACCGAGAGAGCATCTTCCGGCGGCTGCGGCGGCTGCAGGCCCAGCTGGTCAGCTACAGCCTTGTATGGCCCACTCTGGCCGTCTTCAGCTCTGGTGCCAATTTTACAACCCCCATGACCTCTGACCTCTATCTTTTGTCCAGGTGTTTGAGGAGGCCAACACACTGGACCAGGATTTGGAGGTTGAAGGGGACCCGGACTGGCCAGGACCTGGTGGGCTCTGTAGCCCCTGGGCACCCAGTAGTCTCCCCACTCTTGCAGAATTGGAGTGGGACCCAGCAGGGGACGTTGGGGGCCTTGGGCCCTTGGGGCAAAAGACAGCCTGGACACCAGGGGATTCCTGTGAGCTGTGTGGCCACAGGGGCCCCCAGAGTAGGGGACAAGGCCTTGAGGTAAGAGCTGGTATGGGACGCTTCCACCCAGGCACCCACAGGACACCTCTACACACCTCCCAGCAGGGTCCTTCCCTTTCAAGGAGGTTTGGTGGCTCATTCTCTTTCTGTCTGTCTGTCTGTCTGTCTCTCAGTGTCTTTCTCTCTTGGTGTCGTCACAGTGTTTTCCTCCCTCCTTCCCTTGTCTCTTTTCGTCTCTGTATCTTCCTCCATCTCACTCTTTCTCTCTCTCTGGTCCATCTATATCTACATTTCCTCATTTCCTCTCACTCTCCCCCTTGCTCATCCCACTACAACCACATTAGCCTCCTGGCTTTTCTTCAGGCATTCCAAATTCACTCCCATCTCAAAGGCCCAGCTCGCCTCTTCGCTTCATTCCATTCTCACCTCAAATGTCACTTCTTCACAGAGGCCTGCTGTGACCTCCAAACACCATCACTCCTTATCCTTTTACTTTATTTCTTAATGGCACTTACCACATCTTGACATTATATATTTATTAATTTACGGTCTCTCTCCTGCTAGCATAGAAGCTCCATGGATGCCAGGACTTTGCCTGTTTCCGTTGCCACTGTGTCCTTAGCTCCTGGAGTAGTGCCTGGCATGTAATAGATACTCATTAAATATTTGTCAAATGAATGAATGAATAATGTCTCTCCCCTCTTGGTTCCTTTGGCTCTGCCCCTCTCTTCCTCTCTTCCCAAGGTCTTTCTCTTTCCTCAGAATTCCTCTGTGACACCCCCCATTTTGACCCCTTCCCAACCTTGTATCTCTTTGTCATTGGTTCTCCAGGACCCCACACCTCTCTCTCCCCACAGGACATACTGATGTCGGGTCTCAGCCACCGGAAACACTTAGCAGGTCACCGAAGACACTCCCTGCTCCGGAAGTCTCAGGTGAGCTGGTCCTTAGCCAGGTGTATCACTTGGGAATCTCAGGGGCTCGATCCTTCCCTCTCCTGACTCTGCTTCCTCAAGGTAGCTTCCTTCTCAACAAACTTGCTGCTCCAGTAGCTACACACTCACTGTCCACTGGTTTACTCACTCCAGGAGAGTGCTACAGACCAACTAGCAGCAAAGTCCCAAGACTGACTCCACTTGCCCAGCTTGGGTCCTCCTACACCAATCACAGTGGCCAGACTGATGGAGGGCTCTGATTGGCCAGATCTAGGTCACATACCCAATGATAGTAGAGGTGTGGGGTCAGGAGAGTGGGGAAGTGTGAACACCACCCCACCAAATCGAGCCACTGCTACCAGGAAAAGGGGGATCAGCTGGAGGACAGGCACAGATAGACATTTACTACACTTGTAGATATCCAAGCCCATTAGGGGTCTTAGGGATCGAGGAGGTGCCAGGAAAGAAGGAGAAATAAGCCCAGCCCTGTAGGTCTATAGTAGTAAGGGAAAGTCCACACTAAATGTCACTTCCATCCATTATGCTGTTGGCTATCTGTCCTTAGGACAAGAAGAGACAAGCATCTTCCAGTTTCCAGGATGTGATGCTGGAGGTTAATTCTGGGTGAGCTGCCTGGCAGATGGGTATGGGGGCTCATGGCGGCAGCCCATTGTATATTTAACACTGCATTTCCCTTCACAGAGCCCCAGCTCCTGTATCCAGGTGGCCCCTGAGCTTCTTCCTTCTTCTCCTTCTCCTCCTCCTTCTCCTGGTGTGGGTCACATTGCTCTTGACCCAGTCAGGAGGTCCCTGCTGCTCTCCCACCCGCCTGGCCAGGACACCTTACCTGGTGCTCAGCTATGTCAATGGTCCCCCCCCAATCTGAATATACAGCCCAGACATATACAATAAATGGTCACTGTCAAAGGATATGTCTTAGCCCATTTGGATAGCTACAACAAAATAGACTAGATGGCTTATAAATAGTAGAAATTTATTTCTCACAGTTCTTCAGGCTAACAAGTCCAAGATCAAGGTGCCTATAGATTCAGTGTCTGGTGAGGGCTACTTCCTGGTTCATAGATTGCTATCTTTTTGCTGCATCATCACATGGTGGAAAAGGCAGGGAGCTCTCTGGGTTCTCAAAAGAGATTAAGGGCACTGATCATTTACGTGAGGGGGCACCACCCTTATGACCTAATCACCTTCCAAAGGCCCCATCTCCTAGTACCATCATATAGGGGATTAGGATTTCAACATATGAAATTTAGGGGGACACAAACATTCAGTCTGTAGCAGGATGTGTGAGGATATTGGGTGCCTGAGTATTCAGAATCTATGATACAGCCCTGATATGTCTGGACAGCTCCCTCCACAGATCCCTTTGCCTTGAGCACAGAACATAGAACTGAATCAGTCCATCACACCCTGAAACAAAAATTCAAGCAAAAGTAATTTATTTAGGGGGTGATCCTAGGTAGATTGATAGAGTGGGGAAGTGAGGCAGGGAAGGGAGTCGATGAGCTGGTTGCTGCTCTGGGCACCTGAGGTGCCATCCCACTAGGGACCTGTAGGAGACTGTGTGAAACACAAAAGTCAAAGAAATTGGCATTTATGTACCAGCTCCCATCTCTCATTGGTTCCTGAAGTTCTCAACTCCCTAGAACTTCCAGCCTCTCTTGTCTATAAAGTCCTTGCAGGCAAAGAAGCACAGGTGCTTGCCATAGGAAGCTAAAGGTATGCACAGAAAGGGTGCAGGCGATGTGAGCAAGCTGCTGACAGCATCTGCTACAGCCCCTGACTTACATCCATGCAGGTGCTCTGTTCAAATATTCTACATGGTGGGCTCTTCTCTTACAGCTCCAACCAAAGTCCCAAAGCTGGCTCCCTTGGCTAGTGTCACATATTTCACTGGGGGCTGCAAATCAGGGGAGATGTGGGTCTCCTAAGAAAATCAGGAAGTTGCTACCCAAAGTGGGGTGAAAGATGGACACTGAGAGAGGGGGCAGGAAAGCAGCAGATTCTGAGAATCTCCAGGTTCAGGGACAAGTCAGGATGCAAACCTGGGTCTGTCCTGTTTCAAATGCCAGGCCAAGTTTCTGTCCCCAACCATGGAGGTGCATAGTTTCCCTGGGGTTACCACAAACAGTGGGTGGGGTGTTGGCAATATTGACCCCACTGACCAGGTAACAGAGCAAACCTGTCATTCATTCATTCACTTAATATTGACTGAGTGTCTGCTATGAGTTAGGTCCTGGTCAAAGACAGGGCAATAACAGTAAATAAGACTGACTAAAATTCTTATCCTTGTGGGGCTGACATTCTAGTAGGGGAGATCAACTATAAATAAAAGCAATAGGTGAAATATATAATAAAAGATGGTGATAAGTGCTAAGAAGAAAACTAAAGTGGGCAAAGGGAAAGGGGGGTACAATTTAACTAGGGTGATTGAGGAAGGCATCAAGGAGGCAATTATGTCATTGTTATAATTATGTCATTATAGCAAATTGTAGTGAAGAAACAAGTCACAGAGTCCTAGAGTAGTACTGTCCAATAGAAATATAATATGAGGCACAAATATAATTTTAAATTTTCTAGCAAAGTTAAATAGTAGAAACAGGCAAAATTAATTTTAATAATTTCATTTATACCCTGTTTAACCCAGTATATATAAAATATTATCACTTCAACATGTAATCAATATAAAAAGACATAATGAGGCATTTACAATCCTTTTTTCTTACTATGTTTTTGAAACAGTATGTTTTTAAAGTGTGTATTTCACATTTTATAGCACATCTCAATTCAGACACTTAATTTTCAACAGATAAAATGTAGTCCTACCCAAACAGTAAGTTATGTTTAATGGACTATTTTACACTACTTCAGTTTTAAAACTTAAATTACTTAAAATATATAAAATAAAAAAAATTCCTGTCACACTAATCACATTTCACATGTTCAAATTAAAGGTAGCTCTCAGCTACCATATTGGACAGTACAGACCTGGAGGAAGAGCATTCCAGGAAGAGAAAAGAGCAAGGGCAAAGGCTCTAAGGTAGGAGTGTGCCTGGCACGTGGAAAGGCCAGGTAGTGGGGCTTGAGTGGTGGAGGGAGAGAGTGGCGGGAGGTGAGGTTAGAGAGGTGATGGGGCCAGACCAGGTGAAGTCTTGTGGACCACAAGTGAGGACTTCTAGTCTGAGTGAGATGGGCGCTGTCAGAGTTTGTTTTGTTTTTTTAACTTTCATCTTGTACTTTTTGAACTTATACAAAAGAAGGAGTAGCATTACAAGTCCTCTTGGACTCCAATTACCAACTCAGGGCCAATCCCAGGTGCCTACTCCATTCTCCCTAGATTTCTTTGAAGACAATTCTAGACATCATATCTTTTAACTCACCAACCATTCAGGGAGCATCTCCAGCTCAGGATTCTGTTTTAGAATCTAGTCATGATACTTTAAAGAAAATCCCAGTCATTTCTTCACATCATTCACACCCAGGGTGTTGCTGTTTGAGAGGGTATTGGGCAGGAATGGCAGGAACCTGCTGGTGTGACTGGTGCTTCTCACTGGGTACTGGAGTTCCTGAAGGCCCCAGTGAACCACCTCAGGCACCTGGTCACAGGCTTGACCCTTGGGACAGCTGAGTTTGTGACCCAAGATAAGAACATATTCTTGTAACCTGTCATTCCCAATAGGGTGAAGATTAGAATCTGCAAGGGAGACCAGATGCTATTTTTCCAAAGGTCAAAAATACAGAACTTTTAATTTTAATTGATTGCTAAATCTATGAAGAAGCTGCATAAGAGATTTATAAAGTCTTATAAAATACACCTTTTACTTCTCTCAGATTTCTTGTAAAAAGTGTGCTGTGTGAAGATCTCTGGTGCCCAAAGATAAATGACCAATGAGACGCTGACAACACCACTTTTTTGTTTTTTGTAACTTTTCGTTTTGTTTTAAATTGCTGAAAAATTTTAAGACTAGTAAAACAAACTCCCATTTGCACCCAGATTCACCAGTTGTTGACATTCTGCCCCATGTACTTCACCATTCACACGCTAATATATTTATATACGTGCATATATTTGGAACCATTTGAGAGTAAGTTGTAGACATGACTCTCTTTACTCCCAAATCCTTCAGTCTGTAGTTCTTAAGAACGAGGGCTTTCTCCTACACAACTAGAGTACAGTTATCAGAATCAGGAAATTTAACAACTCAATTCAGTTCTATTATTGACCCACGATCCATATTCCAAATTACTCCAAATTTTCAAGTAGTCACATTGAAACAGCAGAAACAGGTGATATACCTTTTAGCAATATTAATTTTTAAGATTTCTGTATGAAGTCCTTTACAGCAATTTTCTTAGATCAGGAGATTCTCGTTCAACAGACTGGGTCAGGGGGTTGAGAAGTGCCGACGCTGTGCCTTAGCAGAGTGAAAAACACAGCAGCAGAAAGAGAGTACCAACCATGGGCTTCACTTGGAGTCAAGGACTTGGGTGAGGTGCTTTATTTGGGACTTTTTCTCCTGATCCCAGAAGGTAGGAGTTAGGGAGCAGGGAGAGGGAGACAGGGCAGAGGAGTCAAAAAAGGTGCTCATGGAGTGGTAGCCACTGTGGGCCTCTGAGGAATCTTGTAGAACACATGCTACAACCTCCTCACCAGACAACATGCAGGCTGGGGCACTCATCCAGTGACTGCTGTCTCCCCTAGGCTGAAGATTGCCCCTGAGGGCATCAACTCACCTCCCATAACTCCACGAAAGCCCTCAAGCAAGGAAGCAGAGATGCTGGGGCTCAGGGCAGGAAGCTGGGAGCTTCCTGGGAACCCTCTTCTGCAGCTGCAAGTGAACTCAAGTAGACAAGAGGGTCCTGAGGTTGGGACATCATCTGTTGCCACAACATGTACTTAATTCACTGGAACATCATAACAGCTACATGAGGGAGGCACTATTATGATGGCCACTTCATAGACAAGGGCGTTGAGGCACAGAGGTTAAATGACTTGCCCACGATCACATCATCCGTAAGTGGTGGAGCTGGGATTCAAAGCCAGGCACTCCAATTCCGGGGTCCAAGCTCTTAATCAACACTCACCTACAACTCCTCCCTCAAATCAGGTATTCCCCTCTCTCATCCTGTCAGGCAAACTCCATTCATCTGTAATCCCCAGGTGAATGTCTCCTCTCCTGATCCAGGAGCCCAGCCCCAGTGGGAACTCTTTCACTACCTGCAGCATGGCCAGAAGCTCCCATCCTGGAGCTTGTTAGGGCTCGAAGAAGACATGGGGCTGAATGGAGAGGACCTATTAACCACTTTATAAAGACTTTATCTTTTACTCCAAGATGGAGCCAGGGCAGGATTAACAGAATCACCCTGATGAAAAAACTTGAGGCTGAGAGAGATGAACAAGGTGAAGAAGGTCCTGAGCGACCAGAAAACTAATTAGAGAAAAAGCTAAACTATCAGCTGCACAGCCTGTGCGCAGGGGACACCCCAGACCCCAGCTGGGACCCTGTATTTCTCCCCTTTACCTTCTCTAGGCCTCTGCCCATACTGATCCTCCTGCTTAGAAGCCTATCCTTCGGTAAAATTCTTATAATTCTTTAAATTTCAACCCTACTTTATAACTATTTGGGTACCTGCCTCCCCCACTGGGATTAGGGCAGAGACTGTTTCTTCTGTCCATCCTCCCTTTGGTCCAAGGTCTGGGCTCCTTTCCTAAGGTCCTCCTCCTTCTTCTCCTCCCCTCAACTCCATCTGCTAAGAATTCATCTGCTTTCCACTTATTTAACTGACCCGGATGCAAACACGGCTTATTTGCAAAATGCAGTGCCCCATAGAATGTCTACAGCAGGCCCATACTGGGACATGGGAGAGGGTCTGTCTGTGGCTTATGGGTTTATCTTTCCTCCCCCACCCCTGCCCTTGCTGACAAAAATCCCAGCTTGTCGCTGAGGCCGGACTCCTCAGCCAGGTCTGAGGTCCCTACTACTGCCTCAGGGATTACCAGCCAGGCCTCAGCTCCACCATTTCCTCTTCTGCCTCACTACTCTCCATTAAGGAGTCAACTGTGGTTTCTTTTTTTAATAATTACAATTTTGATATGCAAGATGAGTTATGATATAAACGATTTTCAATTGGGAATGCTATAATTAAAACTTGGGCTGCCTTAAATTTTTTGAAAATATTTATGGTAAGGAAATACTGAAAATATTTATTTAAAAATTTTTATTTTTCGATTATTCAATATTATTTTAGATCAGTTTCAGGTGTACAGCACAGTGGTTAGACATCTGTATAACTGTGATCCCCCCGATTAGTGCCATTTGGCACTATACATAGTTATTACAATATTATTGACTATATTCTGTGTTGTGCGACTGGGTTGTTTTTTGGGGGGTGGGGGGCGGAATGGGTCACACCAGGGTGGGTCCCATGATCTGCCCAGAAGAGAAACCTATACTGCTTCAACCAATCTGCCAATCTAGAGGGCTCCAGAAGGGAAGAGACAGCTCCCCACATCCATCCCTCCCAGGGTCACTTCTTGGTGTGTGTGGGCCTCTTCAAAAATCCCAAACACAAAATCTTTAAGACCAACAGCGAAGTTAACACATCCTCAACTTTATTCCCTTTGTTCAACAGTCCTGAGGGTGGAAGGTGGCAGGAGTCAGGGTTCTCTGTCAGAACCAGTAGGTGTAGAGGTCTTGAGGGGTCTTTAAATGATCAGCTGGGATGAAAGACCCCTTGCCCCTTCCTCACCGCTCCTAGTGTGTTGCAATTAACGGGAGGAAAGTTTTCCAAAGGGGGACTCGGGGCTTCTCATCATCCATCAGGGTAGCTTTTCAAATTCCTCAGCAAAAAGTCTGCCCCTCTAAGAGTTAAATACAGAGAGGGGAGTTCAGGAGCCAGCGGTCAAGAGAAAGATTTATCAGTCTCCTTCTGTCCAAGGCGGGGGCGTCCTGGCTCTCCATGCCTTCGACTAAGTAACTCAGCTTGACACAGTCCTGCCAGCTGGCGACCCAGGCCGCCTCAAGCCCTCATGGGGTAGGGCGACAAGTTATCATGGGTCGGGCAAGGTCGGGCATCTCTCGCTATACATCATGGTGGTCTTTGGACCCCATGTCGCCAGGAGGGCTCTCCGATTCCCCCAATCCGTCAAGCAAGTCTCTCAAGACCTCTCACCTTCCTTCGGGCAGGTTCCCTGGTCCCCTCCACGCAGTCGGACCGGTCCCTCGGTTCCCGTGTTATTGGGTGAGCTCTTCTGTCACCGTCCATCGGGCGGGGTCTCCGGTGACCCCATGCCGTCGAGCGGGCTCTTCAGACCGTCACCATCCTTAGGCGGTGTCTTCGGGGTCTCTGTGCCGATAGGTTCTTGGATCGGGCCCTGCCGGCGCACGAAGGCGCCCATGGCCATGGCGTGACCCGAGCGCAGTAGTTGGAGCTGGCGCCGCCCGCGGCGGTACAGGTACTCGATGCGCAGTACGTCGGAGCGCGGCAGGCAGGCGTGCTGCCGGAACTCGGCCCGCACCCGCGCCTCGGCGCCCGGCTTTCCGCGCCCGGCGCGCAGCAGCTCGCGGTACAGGCTCAGAACTTGCCTCTGCAGCCGGCTGTGTCGACTCATGGTAGAGCTGGGAATGGCCCAGAACACTGGAGCAGCAGCGTTGAGAGAAAACAGAGTGCAAGGCAACTAGTACTTCCGCTCCGCGATCCAAAACCTTCGCACTCCCGCCTCCTGTTATCCGGAACAGCAGCACCCCATTGGCTGTCGCTGCGGTTACGTCACGACGTTGAGAGTAAGGGGTGGAGCTGCTGGCTCTCCCGCCAGTCCCAAAGGGAATCTATGTCCTTGAGGGGACAGCAGTTTTGGGAACCCCGAGGGGCAGGTGGGAAAGGAGGCCAGGCGCTCGGACTCTTAGGTTTGGGGTCGGATGGGGACAGGGGGTTCTGACTTAACTCTTGGGTCCTGAGAGAGGAGGCAGCTAGATGTTGGGGCTCTTGCTCGCCGAAGCTCCGTGCTTTCGAACTCTCAGTGCGGATGTGCATCGGGGGTTCCAGCCCTGGGGACATGCAGAGGGATGGGGTCACGCGGTGAAATGTTGGGTCACGGCGGGCAGGACAAGCTTCTCTGTTCTGTGGGAAGAGAAGCAGAAAGAGGCTTCTTCTGTGGCGCAGGGCGTTGGCGTGGCTGCGCCATCTGTCGACGTGAGTCCGGCGGGTCCCGGGGGAGAAGAGGGAGGGTCCTTACCACCTGTTGAAGCCCCAAGTCCAGCACCTCCTAGGAGTATTTGGTCGTCGGACGTAACTCCTTCGCATCCCCCGCAGGCTGCCAGGAGGCGTCCTCGTAGCGCGTGGAAGGCCCTCTTACTCCACCAACACTCAGAGGCGTGGGGAACCTCGAGTGGTAATCCTGGATCCCTCCGCACACCGTGCAACCAACCACCGGATGCGTGCGGCGCTTGGAGTCGCCTGCGGAGAGAGGAGGCGCGTTAGGGGCGGGGATTGGGGCTGGAATCGCAGGCTAGCGGGTCCTCACAAACCACTGCATTCTGGCGGGTGCCTGTATCAGAAATACATATCCAGGTCTTCGATAGAGGAATAAGGTGTGGGATTTGTTTTAAAATCCTTCAGCACGACCAAAACAAAAAGTGGGAGGAAAAGATGAAAGCAAGAATGGCAAAATATTTGTAACTGTAATGGAGTTTAATAACGCTATTCTTTTGTGCTGCTTGAAATTTTCCATAATAAACATTTTCCTAATAGGGAGCTTTAGAGAAAAAGAAAAAAGCGTCTCGAACCTGTCACATTTCTTTCACTTGTGTCTTCATAATCTAATAACTGTTTACTGATAGCTGCTCTGTGGCTGGAACTATTCCAAGTGCCTTCGTATTTTATCATTTCTTTTATAAGGTAATGAATGACAGTCTAGTAATATGAAATATATTATGACACAACTGATATTTTAATATATTGTCACCTAATTTATGTAGTACACTTCTTTAAAAAATAGTGAATATTTAAAAGTTTATTAAGCATTTATTTTAAATTATAGTAAATCCTCACAAGGATTTATTCTGACAAGATAGGTCTGCAGTAGTATATACTATATACTACATGCCTCTTGCCTCTTATAATGAAACAGGCCCAGAGAAATAACATAGCTTGCCCAGGTTCACATGGCTGGTAAGCAGCAGAATCCGATTTTGAGCCCAGGGGGTCCGATTTCATAACCTGTGTTCTTAACTACTCTGCTAATATATACTGGCTCTCTAATAATAATATAAAAGTGGCAGCAAGAGCAATCATAGCTTAGACTTACTGAGCACTTAGGTATATGCCAAGCACTTTATGTGTATCCTCACAGCTCCCCTTTATGGTGGGTGCTATTCTTATTACCATTTTTTGGGGATGAGCAAACTGAGGCACAGAGAGAGGTCGAGTCACTTGCCCAAGATTACACGAGGTGTTTAAAAGACACAGCTAAGGGTCTCTTGACCTCAAAAACTCTAGCTAAGTTTACCTGCCAGGTTGTGGCAGATACTCCAGCTATTCTCTTGCTGGCTCATCCACTCCCACAATTAGCCTCAAACTCACAGCTAGATTCTGTCAGCATGAGATTTCAGGTTTGTTTTCTCTTACTTATAAATATCCATTTTGTCCGCCCAGATTTCAATTCTCCTGCTGTTCTCTGGCTTCCATGTTCCTTGGGGAACCAAGTATTCTCCACTCTGTGGTATCAATCTCTGCTGGATTTCCAACCTCCCCTTGTCTGGCTTAAACATCCCCGAGTTTCTCCCATCTCAAAATCATAATAATAGGAAATCAGTTCTAAGATACCCTCACCTTTTCCTGGCTGATCTCTATTCTCCTCTTTCTGCATGGACAACTTGTCGAGGGTGATGTCTATGCCGGCTGTCTCTTCTTAAGTCTCACTCCTCAACCTTGCAATGCAGGTGCTGCTCCCCTGCTTCCTGGATCTTATGATTTAAGTCACCAACAGCCTCCTTGGCCCTAAGTCCATGGACATTTAGTGGGCTATTTTATACTTATTGATTTTTGCCACAGTCCCCAAATATAGTCCTTCTCTTTTACTGGCCGCCTTCTGCAATGCTCCTCCCTGTTCTCTTTCCCAGGTCAGCTCATTTGTCACCCTCTTCAAAAAGCCTTCACTGAACTAGGAGCACCTCCTCTGGGCTCCCACAGCCTGCCTGTGCTTCCCTCATCCCAGCCCTGATCGCTCTGGCCCATGCATCCTCTATTACAGTTTTGATCACTCAGTAGTTCTTAGGAGTTCATCAGGTCTTGGGAAAAGGTAAGGTCAGTGGGTCCTGAGAAGTCCAGGGTGAAGTTTGTGTGGGACCTAGACGGTTATGGGAGATCAGGGCAAGGACATTGAGCCAATGGAGATCAATGTGAGGTCAGAGGATCATGGGAGAACAGTTCTATGTTAAAAGGCTATGGAATGTCAGTGAGGGGTCACTAGGCCCTAGGGATCAGTGTCGGGTTACACAAGGGTTTTGGCTGGAATTGAGGAAGTCCCTTACTCATAGTTTCTGATTGGCTCCCGCAGCTGCACAGCCATCCCTGAAGCCAAGGATCACCCATGGTTGGGGCGCAGCACAGCCAGGATAGGGTGGGAAGTCAAGCTCTTGGGGCCTGGAACCCATCAATGTGGCTAGCTCATAGGCATAGGGCATAACAGGCATTTGTGCAAGCCTACTGAAGCCATCAAAGGTGGTGAAGAGGCCGATAGGCACTAAGTGACACAGGGTAGCCTCACATCACTGTACACCCCCATTTAGGATGCAGCCTGTGCCCTGTGTGCAGGAAACGGGCCAGCACTGGAGGCCTTAGCCACTCATCCTGGCATCCTGGCAGGACCAGTGCTTCCCCAACCTGCAGAGACCGACTCAAAATCAGATCCAAAAAACCATTCTGAACAAACAAAAACAACAAAGCATATGTATAACACATATCACAAAGGACTAATTTCCATAATATATAAAGAATTCCTAAAAATGAAAGAGTCCAACAACCCGATTTTAAAAAATGGGCAAAAGCTATTCAGAAAGTTAATAGAAAAGGAAATACGAATGTTTCTTAGGCATTTGAAAAGATGCTCAACTAACTAATAAGACAAAAACAAATTAAAAATCCTTGAGATATTTTTCTCTACTAGGTGGGCAAAAATAAAAAAAGTTTGATAAGTTTCTCCAATTGTCCTCCAAATATCTATCTGTTTCAAATCAGGATCCAATTCAAGCTTTGGTGCACCGCATTTGACTGCTGTGGCTTTTTAGGCTCTCTTAATTTAGGACAATCCCTCTGCTTTTCATTGGTGTGCGAAAAGCCCTAAGAGCTCTCTGAAGGTTCTGATGTGTGGCCAGCATTGTCAGCATTGGTGTGGAGTAGATATGCCACGGCAGATGTATCTGCTGTTATGCTTTGTTCCTCCTGGTGTGGGTATCTCTTCATTCCCAGATTGCCCTACAGTTTAAACATCCATGTTTTTTCTTATCCAGCAGCCCTTAATCTCCAAAACAACTATGTCAACCATCGAGGGTCTTTCTTTACTTCCCAGTGGACTCAAGGAGCTGCAAAACCTTGAAGAAAGCACTTTGCCTGCCCAGGATCCACTAATGGTTTTCTGGTAACAACCTCCCAGTTTCTTGGGGAACTAGCCCTACTTTCAGTCTATGGGTTTTCCTAGGTGATTGGCCAGGCCTGACCAATCAGAGACAAATCAGAGTACCACATTCCCTAGTCTCTGTGATCAGTTTAGGGATGAGAAGATGACCTACACTGAGACAATCAGAGCCATCCCTGGACTTCTACTGGAACTATTGAGGGAGAAGTTCTGTCTTCCCACTAAACTGTTCACTATAAACCTGGAGCAGTAGGAGACTACCACTGCCCCACAAATATAAGTGGTTTGAGAATGGGGCTATGGTTGTCTTCAAATGTCCATTCTCTGTTTCTTCCCTAGAGTTAGAATTTTTAGCTGCACATGGCCATCCAGCTAAAGATACATCTTACAGTCTCCTTTATAGCCAGCCAGATGGAGTCTTTCCATGAACTTCCAGCCAATGAGAAGTGAACAGAAGTGATATGTACCACTCCTGGGTTGTGCCCTGAAAGGGAGGAGTCCTGTCCACCTTGTCCCCTCTTTTTTTTTTTTTTCCAACTTGCTTGAATGTAGAGTGTGGGGGCAGATGAGGGCAATACCATAGGGGAGCACCACATGATAGAAGGAGCCCGTGTCCCTGATGTGGAGGAATCAAACTGGTTAAACTCGGATTGTTCGTGAGAGGGAAATAAGCTTCTATCAAGTTTAAGCCACTGTAATTTTGAGTCTCTGTTGTAGCATTTAGACCTAGACCCTATTTAATACAGAAGCTAACACAGGAAAAGAAAAAGGCAGGGATGAAAGACAGAAACCTGAATCCTAGTGATATCATTTGAGGCCTTGAATCCAGTTGTGCCTGAAGGCCTATTTGTTTACACAAATAGAAGTAGATATGCTTCTCTGTTGTATTTAAGATCATTGGCGTCATTTTCTTTCAGTTACAATGGAAAATGCTGACTGATATGTTGCGGTTATGGGAATGTCTTAAAATGGGATTTGGGAGACGCTGTACCCACCAGCTCAGGCCTGGGGACCTCTCTTGCACGGATGTGGCATCTATTTGTGGAAGCAGCCACAATGGTCTTGGGACACACAGTCTGTGCTATCCAAGATGAAGCCCATCCTATCCTGGCTATGCTGCCCCCAACAATGGGTGAACCTTGGTTCCAGGGATGGCTATGCAGCTATGGGGGCCAATCAGGAACTATGAGTAAAGGACTTCCTCAATTCCAGCCAAAATCCTTGTGTAACTTGGTCACATTCACAGCCCTTGTAGCATCAGGCGGACCACTGAGCAGGGCTAGAAGGCAGGATACAGTCCCCATCACAGCTCTGTGCACAGATGCTGTAGTGGCTTTGGGGTAGACAAGTCAGGGCAGCAGGAAGATGGCAAAGGTGGGTGCTTAGGACTCAAGTTTCCCTTTCCAATCCTATTGCCTCCTGCCTCAGTCAGGGTAGCTTCTCATTGATATTTTCCAACCTCCACACCTTTGCAGTTACAGTTCCCATTCCCTTGGATGCCCTCCGCATATACTCTCCTCAGCCAATTCCATTCAGATTGGGACTTCTTTGATCCCCATCAGGAGACAGGGCTCTTTCTGCCAGCCCACAACCTGCTGAATGCTCTGCATCTCATGTCCAACCAGAGCACTCACAGCAAAGCTTGGGGCCCCTCTAGGGACATCACGGGAATTACAGCCTCCTGGCTGTGAGGGCATCACAGAGGTGGTGAAAGTGCTGGCCATGGGTATGACGTACATCCTGCAGTTATATCCTGAGGAAAGGCTTGGAACTGATATAGGCTAGGCAGCAGCCAAAGGGGCCATCTGTTGCCTGTAGGAATCCACACAGTTTGGGAGTCTTGAAGATTTGGGCAGGCTGCATGGGGAAGCTGATGCTAAAGCCAAGGTGTGGCAGGAGAGTGGCAGAGGGTAATGACTGGGCCCTTGGGCCAAGATCTGGTATCCAGAGGCAGGTCAAGGGAGCCAGCGTCACCACCAGAGGCCCCACACAGCCCTGCCAGCCGGCTGTAGAAGGTAGCAGGCTTCCTTCTACACCTAGTTGCTCTAGTTATACATAACATGCTAAGTCCCACACCCAAGTCTCACAGCTCGTTTGTGGCACAACTGGGAGGGATGTCCAGGTTGTTGAGAGGCACGAGAGCGGGCTCAACCTTCTCACCTTTTTGGCAACCATTCTCCTTACTTTCAGCATGTGGACCGAGGTGATTCCACATCCAGGCTCCAGGGGTGGGTACAGAACCTCTGCGTACAGATGTCCTCTGGGGCTGGCTAATCAGATTATTGCTCCTTCCTCTGGGCCCCAATAATTGGTCAGGCA